CTAGATGGCGCTAACGAAATAAATTGTCTTATTGATTCACTGATGCCAACTGTTTTTTTAAAAAAAAAAAATATTTGATGGCACTTCAGTGAAGAAGAACGATAGAAATCCTAATATAGTAAAAGAAAAAAAAATCAAACATCCAGAGAAATACTGCATGTAAAATGTAAATATTAAGTATTTCTAGCATGCATTACTAAAAAAATGTAAAATAATTTTGAATGCGTGAAAGTATTAATCTCTAAATAATGCCAAAAGTGACCTTATTATTCCATCTTCACTAACACTAAAAAATTAGTGCAGAAATAAGGGGTTGTTTGACATCTACCTCACCGAATAGAAACAAAAAGATAAAAACGAATACGTGTTAAATGATAAAAAAAATATATATAAATGAATAAATATATCGACACAAAAAATATCTCACAAAATATGATAAAAATATAATACCATTCAAAAAGGAAAGGAAACAAAAAGTAGCACCATCTAAAATACGATGGGGAAAAAAAGTTCTTCCATATCGTTCCCAAAAATGCACAATATTTATTTAGAACATTCATTTTACTATTTTTTTTTTCACTTATTGCTCATTGATGAAATTCTAGAATAAATAGTGCAGTGAAGGAAAACATATTCATTCCAGATGCAGGGCAGGAGCACTAAAGACAAAAAAATAAATAAATGGAAAATAGAAACAATGCAAGTGCCATGCACCAAATAGAGTACACCGTGAAAAAAAATGAATAAAGCAATCAAGTGATTTCAGCATGCTTTCGGATGTGATTATTGTTGGAGCATAAAAAAAACGGGGAACAAAAAACGAAAAGGATTTATCTAGATAGGAGTTTGGACTGTCAAATCTAGAGGGGATTCGTGAGTAACTTTGCAAATGCTGTGCGCAAGCTTCCTCTTCTCGTTGGTGAGGATTTATGCCAATTGTGCTTAACCCTTTGTAACTAAACCGTTTATAATTATACTGTTAATTATATTGAAAATACTTATTACATGACTGACATTGTGCCAATACTTGATTATTAAACAATATCACTGATGGAAATTGAAAAGAAAAATATATGGTTATTTTTTTGGGAAACGTGAAACTTGATAATACAGAAAGAATTATATTCACTTTAATTCGATAATAGTTAGAATTCAATACTACCGTCAGATGGGTTGACGTTGTGCAAAGTGTCATTTTTTCAATTTTTGCGTCTAGCCATCTAGGGGTATTTTTTTAAAGCTCGGTATCAACTGATTTGAGTTGTCAACAAAACGAACTAATGGTTTACCAAGAACTGTCAATGTAAACATCATCGTTCTTGAAAAATTGTGAGCTCAAGTTTCACAAACAGTTTCAAATTGTTTGATGTCGCAAGATCGGAGGTCGGAAAGTCTGCTCGGTTGAAGAGGTTCTAGTTATCCTGGCCAGGAAGGTAGGTTATACTTTAAAAGTCTTATCAATTGAGATAAAAAAATCATGCATAATTTTTTGTTTTTAATTATTATAATGTTATTTATTTATTAATTAACAGTTTGCTCAAAGTCACCCCATTTGACGGTAGTAGTTAATGCAATAATAGTTAGACTTGAATTGGATAAAATAGAATTTTTTTTCAAGCATGAAAACGTGAATGTATGACAAAATGTTTGTAACGAAATAATCGGAGTGATATAGTTAATGCATAAATGTAGTGAATTCGACTAAAATGAAAACAAAATATTGTAATAGTAATGTATACTTGAAATAAACCGAAACTAATATCTAAAAAATAATTAAAGTTCAGAAAATTAATAAATCCCGCGTTTTAGGAGTTTTGTCATAATAATAAATTTGTTATAAACCAATGAAAAAAATTTCTGACAACTAATAATAAGTTTTCTATAAGTTTTACTCTTAATATATTCATTTTTTTAACACAGATCTGTAATTGAAGTGTGTTTATCACAAATGCCTAAAAATATTTCTTGGAAATTTCCCGACAAAGTTCAGAAATCTAATGAAATTAACTTTCATGAAGTTATGTTCTAATAATTTTAGATTCGATAGCAGAAAGTAATGGATGCACGTTCACAAAACGCATGCTTACAAAACACAAAAATTAATTTGTCATGACTATAGCTATTATTTATTTAAGCACGTAAACGCTACAAAGGGTTAAACGCAGATATAGAATTACTTGAAAAAAATATAATTGTGCTTTTTTTCACTGATGTACATAAATTTTACTTTTGACTAAACATAATGAAAATTATTGATATGCTTCATATAAATAAAAATAACTTGATAAAATGTGTAAATAATAATTCTAGTTAAGTTGATAAACGAAGCAAGTTATTTTTTTAAAAATTTCTTTTGTATAAAGTGTAATTAAATATTAAAACGAAAAATATGTGTTAAGCCATTTTTATGGAACCTTGTGAATTAAGGTGCTGTGCTGTTACCTAAATTTTTCATAGCTAGGAAAACATATTTTTTATGGTGTGTAGAAAACACTTTCAGAAAAATATCGAAAATGCAGTTTCACAGTATGCATACACACAAGACAGAAATATTCAGTTATATAATCAATAGTCATAAAATATTTACCACCAAGAGACAAAAAGTACATAATAAATTCTATTATAATGTAATAAATTGAATAAATATAAAAATGGGCATGCAGCAATCAAATATATTTCATAGAAATATTGAAAACAAATATTATTGATTGGTCAATAAAAACACAAATATATTCGCTAATCGTTTATCGTTATTATTAATCGTTTCCTGTTAATATAATAGGAAATATTAATTTAATAGGAAATGGCTAATTTAATAGAAAATAAAATTTAGAATTAAAGTATACACTAATTTATTTGTGTTTATACATATGAATAAAAGAAAAGTAAAAGTATGTAAGTATGAGTAAAAAGTATGAGTAAAAGATAAATTAGTATACACTAATTTATTTGTGTAATTTATTGAAATTCATTGTAGAACTTAGTGGAGGAACAAGTTAAGCAATATTTTAGTTACTTTTATAAAAAAAATGACATATGAATAAAAGAAAAATGAATGAAGAAATTAGGAACATATAGATAGCTTAAGAATAAATAAATTATGAATAAATAACTGACTTAATGAATAAATTACGAATAGAATGTGTTAATGACTTCAAATTGAAAATTTAAAAATAAACAAATTGCTAAAGAATAGATTAATTAAAAAAAAGGAATAAATGGTTTAAATTGAATTATTTAAGAACAGATGAATGGCCTTAGAATATATAAATTAAGAATAAGTAAATGCTTTACAATGAAAGAAATTAAGAATGCATAAAGAGTTATAAATAGTTTTAGAACAAGCAATTGAAGAATAAATAAATGGCTGAAGAATGAATAGATTAAAAACAAGTAATTGGTTTAATAGTGAAGAAAAACAAAGAATAAATGACTTAAGAACTAATTAATTAAAAAAGCGTAAATAAATTTAGATTCAAATAATTAAGAAGAAATAAATGGCTTAATTAATAAATCATGAACATATAACTGATTTGAGAATAAATTTTTTAAGAATGAATTAGTTAAAAGCATATAAATGGCTTCAGAATTAATAAATTGAAAATAAACAAATGACTTAGTAAATTAATAATGAATTAATAAATTAACAATGATGAATTAACATTGACAATGAATTAATAAATTAAGAATTAAAATAAATGGTTTTTAAATAAATGAATTAAGATAATGTAAATAGCTTAACTAATAGATTTAGAAGGAATTAATTTCTTGAAAAAGGATAATAAAAAAAATAAGTAAATGGTTTAAGTATGAAGTAATGAGAATAAAAAAAATCTAAAATAACTGTTTACAAAGTAATTTTTAAATTAAATATCGTCTTTACATGTTGCAGACATGCTAGAAAAACTCATGATTTATATTTATAACCATGTTTAATCCAGAAACTTGAGTGTTCAAATTGATACTTTACAAGTTGGTCCACAAAGTTATTTAAGTATACTATACATACATTACACTGAAGCTTACTCTCGAGAAAAATATCAAGCAGTCAACATTTTAATACTTTTGTATGTAGTCATATGAAGATGCAAAAACTGCAAAAATCGAAATGAAAAAAAAATAGAATTGTAGTCAACAATTGGAAATCAACATTTAACATATTTAGACTTATATAAAAACTGAGCAAGCTGCCTAAAAACGTGAGCTTGCTTAAAACTTTAGACGAGTTTAAATGCAAACAACAAGCTAAAATTTGTTAAATGCCTCCTGACATAAAGAAAAAGTAGGAAAAAAGTCCTGCGCAAGGTTACTAAAATTTTGATTTATAATCATTACAAATATTTATTATCTAACGTTTGCTGACTTGGTTGATTATAACCTGATAAACAGAGAACCATTGCTCCGTGAATCAACCATGATGGTATATTATATTGACTTTGGTAAAAATTTTAAAGTTTGTGTTAATTTTAAAGTAAAGATCGAATTAAGGCCAAGTAATAAAAATACAGCCTATACTGGCACCGTTGCGAATTCAATACCAATTAGGGTAAAGTTTTCAAAAATTCTTTTGAAGAAAAAGTTAAAAGCCTTATTAAAGTCGAGTTAATTCAAAGTCAATCTATTGTGTTAGTCTTGATATAATTATAGTGATGGTAAAGATCTGAAAAAAGTTGTATTAAAGTGATTTTAAAAGCATAAAGTTTCGAAGAAAAAAAAGCATTTTTGAAAAGTAACGTTATACTAAAAGTATAATAGTCAAATCAAAGTCAATCAATAGTGTTGACTTATTTTTTTTCTTTTACTAATAAAGATTTAAAATATCCTAGCAGCAAAATAACTAGGGTCCTCATTCCCTTTATTACAGGTATGGAGATTGAAGAGAACATTATAATGAGCATGAAACTTCAGTGTAATGCAGTTTAAAAAAAAACTTCTTTTAAAAATAGTTTTTGATTGAGATGTGTGAATGAAGGCATGCAATGAAGGAAGAAGAAGAGTACCTGAAAATGAATATGAAGAGTATGAGCAGGGCGAAAAATACCGCCACGTTGTCCACTGTCCTCAGCATGATGACTAACTGACGTCGGAGAGCAGGTAGGAACCTCACAAGCTTCAAAATCCGTAAAAGACGAAATGTTCTTAAAACAGACAAACCGCTACCACTGCTCTGACACAGTTCCACTATGCTATAAAAAGAGAAATTAAAACAACATTTAACCGTTTGAGTCCCAGGAGGTATTGAAAACAACACTGTCGAAGAATCCCAAACAGCGCTACCGCGCTTTCTCTAAATGAGAACGAAAAGACCTAAGCAATGTGATAGCGCTTGTTTTATTTTCTGTCGAGAAATACCAAGCAGTGTGATAGCTCTTTTTTTATTTTCTGTCCAGAAATACCAAGCAGTGTGATAGCGCTTGTTTTATTTTCTGTCGAGAAATATCAAGCAGTGTGATAGCTCTTTTTTATTTTCTGTCGAGAAATACCAAGCAGTGTGATAGCGCTTGTTTTATTTTCTGTCGAGAAATACCAAGCAGTGTGATAGCTCTTTTTTTTATTTTGTGTCGAGAAATACCATGCAGTGTGATAGCGCTTGTTTTATTTTGTGTCGAGAAATACCAAGCAGTGTGTTAGCGCTTGTTTTATTTCCTGTCGAGAAATAGCAAGCGGCACCATAGCACTTTATTTATTTTACATCGATGAATCCCAATCGGAGCAATAGCGCTTCTTGTATTTCACTGTGGGCCAGAGGACCATGATCTTTGGCAAAAAGTAAAAAAAAATAAATTTTCAACTAAAATATGTGTAGGCAGTTTGAATATAGCCCAAATTAAGTATTCATAATCATTCCAAACATTATAATTTACTTTTTGGACAGACGTGAGTACAATGTACTGAAAAATATGTTAATTTTTTTTTAAATGTAACTTTTAAATTTTTATTTCAGAAATATATATGGGAATTTCACCTTGCTGTTACATTTTTATCAGAGTAATTAGTCTGAAAATTATAGTACAATTTTTCAATTTGTTGGATTCGTTAATACTCTAGACAAACTTATAGTTTATATCTTATCATTTAACATTTTACAATGTTTGAATGAATTTCGAAACTTAGTTCTAAAAAGTTCCACGAGGTAATTAGCTAAACTTTTTTTCTTTTGTTCTCTTCTTTGATGTTTCTTCTTTCGAAAAACCTGCCCCATTTTGCCCGTATTGCAAAGGTGGACTAAATATACCGAGAAACGAAAATTATGTCTTTTTTCTTCATGTCTTCGCTTTATTTTGTAATTAATTCGCTTTATTTTGTAATATTACTTCGGAAATATAATTTGCTTTTCATTTTTAATGTAAAATTACGAAAATTATTATATTTTCATTGCTGTATTTAATTATTTAAATGTACTATATTATTATTTTTTATTTTTCTATCTCGCCCCATTCGGAGAATATATAGTAATGAATAGAAAATAAAATCAGCAATGAATATGACTGCTTTAAGGTATTAACAAAGGTATTTTCACAATTTAAACAGTAAGAAACATCTTTTATAGTGATTACCTGAGTATAACGATGACACCGTCGAACACGTTATATCCACTGCTGATATAACCATAAAGACCTTCGGCTAAAATTTTCAGGCACATCTCAAATCCAAATATGCCAGTAAACACCAGGTTACTGACTTCCACTATAAATGTTAATTCTTCAGGCTGAAAAACAATATAATTTTTTTTTTAAAAAAAGTCAATTCCTACTTATGTCAACAAAGTTTTTTTTTATTTTAGTTACATTTTATGAAATAATTACAGTTTTTTTCCCTCGTATAAAATTAAAATTAAGTAATTAAATTAAGTAATTAATGTTTGAAAAAACTGTATTAACATCCAAGTGTCATCCACTACGAGCTGGAAAATTGTATTTGAACTAGAACGGATGATTAAAATGTTTTTTTATTAAAGATTGAAAATTTGAACAAGATATATAAATATATATAGGGAGAGTGTGAACTCATAGTAGGAACTGAAACAAAAATGCGCGTGGTATCAGAAAACCATGAAAGTATACATTTGGTGACGTGGATCACACGTGCTGCCACGCCACGTTCTTTATTGAATTTATCTGACACAGCGAATATGAAATACAGTAAGGAACCGATTATCCGGAACGATCGGGACCATCGCTATTCCGGATAACTGATTTTTCCGGTTTTCTGAATCGCTACAAAAAGCCGTTTTTTTTATTGTTAAACCCAACTAAAAAAAAAAATTTTGGAAATAATCTTAAAAAGAAGAAAAAACGATGAAGTAATACACTAATGATTATTTCCAAAATGATGGTAAGTTAAACATCTTTCAAAAAAGAAAGAAAAGTCCTAAAATATTATGAGAAATTTTTTTTTTTTAAAAAAATGGCGGGAAAATTTATCGAATTTCGTTCCGGTTTTTCGGTTTTCCGGTTTTTCGGTTTTCCGGTTTTCTGATTTCCGGATAACGGGTTCTGTACTGGAATTAAATATTTAAATGTGCGCAATAAACTAATGTTTTGTTCAAATAGTTGGGAATGATCACTGATGTTATTTTTAAAATATGCAAAAACTGTATCGCTTATAGTAACATTTAAAACAATGATTAACGCTTAACCCATTAGAAAATACCATTTCGTTTTTCGCTCATCCCTATTCAATGAATGAATTAATATTTAAAAAAACTGTATTAAGATCAAGTGTCATCCACTGCAAGTTCAAATAAATGTATTTTAACTTGAGCGTATGAATAAAAAGTATTTTATTAACGATTGAAAATTTGAACAAGGTATTGGGAGAGCGTGGACTAACAGTAGGAGTTTAAAAAGAGAATTAATGTTATGAATCTTCATTATTATCTGTATTATAATTGAATTTATCCTCCGCAATATATATTACATAGTGATGTATAATGAGCCTGAAACTTCCTTGTAGCTTACTACCACGAATTACGATATCAAACTGTTATCAAAGTCGTAATGGAAGCAATGACATTTTTACTTTTTTCAAAATATTGCAAAAGTCAATTCTTCATTGATTGTTTGAAGGTTGATCATAGCACCTAACTTCGAAGATAGAAAATGAAACTTAGTGTCCGTAGTGAAACTTAAATAAAATGTAAATCTATCAAATCTATTTAATAAAATGTAAATCTATCAAAAATATAAAGTAAAAAATAAAAAGTAAAAAGTTAATATTTAAAAACTTCATTCTTCTAAGAAGCCTAATTTATTAGTTATAATATATTTAATTGTAAATATATTTCGCATATCTATATATATATTTCTCTTACACGGCACCAAAAAAAAAGCCTCATTTCAACTCCCCGAATGGCAACGTTAGAAAATCGACCAATGATTGCCGCTAAAAATGTCACANACGGCGTGAACCACATAGGATTGCGTAGCAATTCTCGGGGGTTGGTGAGCATTAGCGAGCAGGGGGCGGAGCCTCCTAGTTTAATTATAATCGATTTATATTGTAATATTAATAACTGATATTACATGAAAACGTGGATGATGCAGTTTAAATGTTATGTTTTTTCTGAAAAACATCAAAACTTAAAACAACTCATTTGTAAAAACAAAAAATCCAATAATTCTCATTCAAAGCCAAGAAAGGAAATAAATTAACAGGACTTTTAAGTTAATAATGGCTAATTATGAAGATTAACAATTCTAAGAAACACTCAAGGTTTAATTAAGGGTTACTTTTATAGAAGAAATACTAATCCTTTTGAAAAATAAGCAATCATTTTGAAAGAAAAGCACCATTAGGGTTAAATGAGATTTTAATTAGTTCTCTTTTTGAGACGTAAGATAATTTGTTCTTTTAAGATATTTCGTTTCATTTCATTCATGAATCATAATAGTTTTAACACTGTGTTTATGAGTAAAAAAAGGTACACATTAACTTGTTTACAGTTGGGTAAGTGTTCGAAAAATTTTAGTGTTTGTTTACTTATATTTCAGATAACAGCATTAAAGAAATAGTAAAATAGAAGAAAGTTCTTATTGCTATTTTTTTTTTCAGTAAACAATTCACTTTATTCTATTTATTATGTGAGATTTTATCTTTAAAGGCAATAAATCAACCTTAAAATGCAATTACAAATGTGAGGTTAAACATAATAAAAATAGTCAAAGCACTTCAGTTTATTTAAATTATGTTGCGATTCGTGAATAGTGATCATATGAACTGTATTCTTTAAAGCATTAAAGAAATAGTAAAATAGAAGAAAGTTCTTATTGTTATTATTTTTTTGCCAGGAAACAATTCACTTCTATTTATTTATTATGCGAGATTTCATCTTTAAAGGCAATAAATCAACCTTAAAATGCAATTACAATTGTAAGGTTAAACAAAATAAAAAGTAGTCAAAGCACTTCAGTTTATTTAAATTATGTTGTTATTTGTGAATAGTGATCACAACCTGTATGAACTGTATTCTTTAACTGTATATGAACTGTATTCTTTAAAGCTTTAAAGAAATAGTGAAATAGAAGAAAGTTCTTATTGTTATTTATTTTTTTTGCCAGGAAACAATTCACTATATTCTTTTTATTTATTATGCAAGATTTCATCTTTAAAGGCAATAAATCAACCTTAAAATGCAATTACAAATGTGAGGTTAAACAAAATAAAAAGTAGTCAAAGCACTTCAGTTTATTTAAATTATGTTGTTATTTGTGAATAGTGATCATATGAACTGTATTCTTTAAAGCATTGAAGAAATACTGAAATAGAAGAAAGTTCTTATTGTTATATTTTTTTTTGCCAGGAAACAATTCACTTTATTCTTTTTATTTATTATGCAAGATTTCATCTTTAAAGGCAATAAATCAACCTTAAAATGCAATTACAATTGAAAGATTAAACACAATAAAAATAGTCAAAGCACTTCAGTTTATTTAAATTATGTTGTTATTTGTGAATAGCAATCATATGAACTGTATTCTTTACATTTGTGAGGCAAGATGTATGGAATAAATTCCGTAAATAATTATAAGCATAACTATTAATATATTTTGAACATTAAAAAATTAAAATATTAACCTAATCTATTAATAAGTAAATAAGTGCTATTATTTAGTTCAGTTTATTCACATAATAGTTTCGCAAACCTTAATTAATCAAATATTTAAAAACCATTCATTTTAAGTCATAGTTTCTTTGTTCTTATTTTGATATTTTTTGTGACTTGCGAACTGCATGCAACAAAAATGTGTGTAAGGTGTTCGCAATGACTGCTAAAATTATGTACAAAACAGGCCATTCATGTTTCTTTCTCTTTTCTATTTTATTTTACTTTTTTTCTTAAATAAAAGTTAATTTTCAAAAATTATTAATTTCTAAAATTATTAATTGTCATCTTCTTTAAATTATCCAGTATAATATTACCTTGCGCACTTCCATTTTTGGGCCCATCCTTGGTAACTAACAAATCAAACGCACTTCAGTACTGTAGTAAGAACGCACTAAGAACGCACTATCCCTCTATTTACGCTTTTAACTTAATTTTCACTTCTGTTTTCATATTTTGTAATCTGGCAATCCTGATACGAAAATATTTTAAATAATTCCTGAAAAATTTCCCGTTCATTTTAATTCGTTACTNAACTATTAATATGTTTTGAACATTAAGAAATTAAAATATTAACCAAATTTATTAATAAGTAAGCAAGAGTTATTATTTTGTTCAGTTTTCACATAATTGCTTCGCAAACCTTAATTATTCAAATATTTAAAAAGGATTCATTTTAAGTCATAGTTTCTTCGTTCTCATTTTGATATTTTTTGTGACTTGCGAATTGCATGCAACAAAAATGTGTGTAAGGTGTTCGCAATGACTGCTAAAATTATGTGCAAAACAGGCCATTCATGTTTCTTTCTCTTTTCTATTTTATTTTACTTTTTTTCTTAAATAAAAGTCAATTTTCAAAAATTATTAATTTCTAAAATTATTAATTGTCATCTTCTTTAAATTATCCAGTATAATATTACCTTGCGCACTTCCATTTTTGGGCCCATCCTTGGTAACTAACAAATCAAACGCACTTCAGTACTGTAGTAAGAACGCACTAAGAACGCACTATCCCTCTATTTACGCTTTTAACTTAATTTTCACTTCTGTTTTCATATTTTGTAATCTGGCAATCCTGATACGAAAATATTTTAAATAATTCTTGAAAAATTTCCCGTTCATTTGAATTCGTTACTCGCTTTATAGATTTTATTTTATGTTTTATTCTTTTTTTTTTCTATGCATTTTATTTTCTGTTTTTACGTGATATTTTTACTTAATGTGTTCGATTTTATTTGTTGTAAAATTTTTTGTAAATTTTTTTTGAGTGCTCCTTACACCATTGTATTGATATATTTTGCTTCGTCTATATTGATACAATATTAGAAAGCACTCCTTTTCACGGATATAATCGTGTGAGCAGATGAAAAGATTATATCTTTTATTTTTCGGATATTTATAATTTTTTTCTCCATTTTTTCAATTTCTCCAGATTTTTTATTATCATTTTTCTCTTTCCTTCTTTTCACTGTTCTGTAATTTTTTCCACGTTTTCCCTACATGTTGAACTATGCATATAACCTACTTATGTATAATTATATATTATAAAATCACTTTTAAAATGAAGTAAAATAAAGTATTCGCAGTAAGGGAGGTTACAAATT